ACGGGGGATCATTGTCTTTGCTACTAACAGCACTTGCCCCAACAATCTAAGGCTACACGGGGGATCTTTGTCTTTAATACTAACAGCACTTGCCCCAACAGTCTAAGGCTACACGGGGGATCTTTGTCTTTGCTACTCACAGCACTTGCCCCAACAGTCTAAGGCTACACGGGGGATCTTTGTGTTGGCCACCAGTGGGCAGACGACTCCCGCACTAATAACCAGAGGCTTGCATCGAGCTCTGTCGACTCTCAGAAGATACAGCCTCGCCCAATGAGTTTCACTATGTTGATCGATATAAAAGGGAAATTTGCGAATATGTGTGCATGTTCGAAATGTTTAGCATATATTCCCGACATGCAACAAACTTGAAATTTAGCATGTGGGTAGCTTCCAGACTGTACACAATGCAAAAAGTATAAAAATAGACTTTTGTATTTGGGGGGGGGGGGGGGCGCAATAATGGATACATTTTGCACGGCAAGTGAGCGGTGACGTCACATCTATGATGTCACCAGCGGAAGCGTCACGCAGGGTGCCTGTCTCGGGCGCAGCCGGGCGGTAAAGCTCGTACTGGTAGGAACACCTCCTCCTGGTTACTACACCACCAGCCCACAGGGGATTATTGTGTCCGTCCGTCCGTCGTGCATCCAACAATGGGAGGGGTGGGGCTGGGTGGGGAGGGGAGGGTGGGGAGGGGCTGGGTGGGGGGTGGGAGGGGTGGGGCTGGGTGGGTGGGGAGGGGCTGGTCACCCCGTGGTGCCCCCCTTATAAAACTCAACGTTTAACCTACTCACGCCGGCTTGTGCCCGCCCTCACAGTTGGGCACATTGTGCGGAACACACCACGTGGTGGTGCTGCCGTTGTTGTTGACCCTGGCCATTGACCGAGCAGCCCGACGTTCCTACCAGCATCCCTCCGCAGGAGAATGTGTAACCATATAAATAACACAAACGGGAATGGATACCCATAGTCATGAATAAACATTCATTAACCACCCCCCTCCCCATCCCACCACCCTGCTCAAGAAGAGCAGACAATCCTAGATTTGAAGTTTTCGAGCCTGCAAGGAATCCATACTCTTTGGTTCTTTGGGTAAAGTCACGTGGGTATAAACTACAATAAATTAAATCACGACGTTTCGGGCCCAGCGCACAAGCGGTCCGTCATCAGGCGGGGCAATCACAGCAATGAACACGTTGCTGCGGTGGGCCAAAAAGGGCAGCTTGTAACCAGAAACGTCGCGATTCAATTGATCTTATTTTACACCCACGAGACTTCACCCAAAGAATCATGAAGAGTATGAGGAGCACGCAAGTGACGTCATCACACCCACCACCTCTGTTTGAGGAGCGGAACAGGGGGAGGGGTTCTCCACAAATCTGCCTGCCGTCCGCCTGATGGTGCCGGTTGTAGTTTAGTGGCGAAGCGTCACGGGGCTCAGATTGTAAATGTTGTGGATTTGTTCTGACAACACACACCGGGTTAGTGCTGTACTAGTATACTACACTATACACTACACTATAGAATATACTACTATACACAATACACTACACTATACAATATACTACTATACACTACACTATACACTACTATACACAATACACTACACTGTACAATATACTACTATACACTACACTATACACTACACTATACACTACACTATACGATATACTACACTATACACTACACTATAGAATATACTACTATACACTACACTATACACTACACTATACACTAGTGCTGTACTAGTATACTACACTATACACTACACTATACACTACACTATACACTGCACTATAAACTACACTACTATACACTACACTATACGCTATACTATACACTACACTATACACTAGTGCTGTACTAGTATACTACACTATACACTACACTATACACTTTACACTATACACTTTACACTATACACTACACTATACACTAGTATACACTACACTATACACTTTACACTACACTATACACTACACTATACACTACACTATACACTGCACTATACACTACACTACTATACACTACACTATACACTACACTATACACTACACTATAAACTGCACTATACACTACACTACTATACACTACACTATACACTAGTGCTGTACTAGTATACTACACTATACACTACACTATACATTACACCATACACTTTACACTACACTATACACTACACTATACACTACACTATACACTACAGTGCTTTACGAGTAACTAATTGGCACGTTCCGTTTACCTGACACACAACCTTACCAATTGGCTGTGTCGGGTGGTGGTGGGTGATTGCATGTGTGAGTTGTTACATTTATAACTGAGCTATTGGTGAGTGAACAGGTGAGTGAGCAGGTGAGTGAGTGAGTGAGCGGGTGAGTGAGTGAGCGGGTGAGTGAGTGAGCGGGTGAGTGAGTGAGCGGGTGAGTGAGTGAGCGGGTGAGCGGGTGAGTGAGTGAGTGAGCGAGTGAGTGAGTGAGCGGGTGAGTGAGTGAGCGGGTGAGTGAGTGAGCTGGTGAGTGAGTGAGCAGGTGAGTGAGTGAGCTGGTGAGTGAGTGAGCGGGTGAATGAGTGAGTGAGCGGGTGAGTGAGTGAGCAGGTGAGTGAGTGAGTGATCGGGTGAGTGAGTGAGCAGGTGAGTGAGTGAGCGAGTGAGTGAGTGAGCGGGTGAGTGAGTGAGCGGGTGAGTGAGTGAGCGGGTGAGTGAGTGAGTGAGCGGGTGAGTGAGTGAGCGGGTGAGTGAGTGAGCGGGTGAGTGAGTGAGCGGGTGAGTGAGTGAGCAGGTGAGCAGGTGAGCGAGTGAGTGAGCAGGTGAGCGGGTAAGTGAAGACGCGACTTGTCTACCATGTACCTTCCACGCCTCGAACAATGCTTACGATTGTTTTCAGGCACGTTAAACATTTACCCGCTCGCGTATTGTAGACCGACAGGATCCATAAACAAACGTGGTTCATGGGATCACAGACGTGACATTACAGCTGGGGTTCTTGTGACTGTCGCTCCATATAAGGCGCTGGAGGATGGGTTGTGGAGTGATGTCGTCATCGCTTCCCCTATTTGGACAAGCTGGGTGACGTCACCCTCGCGAGGAATGCAGCGTCTGGAAGATGAGCAGCGGTGGCTATGAGATGTTGACTACCTCGCGTGGTATACAGGAGGTCGTGGGCTCCATCTCACGGTGGCTATGAGATGTTGACTACCTCGCCTGGTATACAGGAGGTCGTGGGTTCTATCCCTCTCTCATCATCATCACGGTGGCTAGGAGATGTTAACTACCTTGCCTGGTATACAGGAGGTCGTGGGCTCCATCTCACGGTGGCTAGGAGATGTTAACTACCTCGCCTGGTATACAGGAGGTCGTGGGTTCTATCTCTCCGTCATCATCATCACGGTGGCTAGGAGATGTTAACTACCTCGCCTGGTATACAGGAGGTCGTGGGCTGCATCTCACGGTGGCTATGAGATGTTGACTACCTCGCCTGGTATACAGGAGGTCGTGGGCTCCATCTCACGGTGGCTAGGAGATGTTAACTACCTCGCCTGGTCTACAGGAGGTCGTGGGTTCGATCCCGACCCTGACGCCTGCTGCTGCTGTATATTTGGAGTTTGTGTGGAATTATTTCTCCGGGTCCTCCGGGTTTTACCTCCACGTTTAGAATGAACGTCACCACGGATCACAGCGCTTAGATTATTTTGGCAGCTCTCAATGTCCACGTGATGATCATGATGATGATAAGGGTCACTTTGGTCGGGCTGTGGTGGCCACGTCGCTTCTGAACAAATAATCTAATAGCTCACGGGGGCTTAACCTGTTGAACACGTAGGCTTTCGGCGACCAACGTCATCCATAATAGAGGTTTTTTTGGGGTTGGATCGCGTAAATCACGGGCTAGAGAACAGATGGGGTGATGTGGTACAGGAGGACGTGGAGCTGAGTGGACTTGCCGATGACTGGTACCAGCGGTGTCACGATCGGCCTCTGTGGAGGAGGCTCGTGAAGGACGCTACTGGGCAGTTGGAGGCAGTCGCCCTCCAACAACAACGGAGGGCGGAGGAGCGACGCTCAGAACAACGAGCGGAGCGCCGGGTGGCTAAAGCACAGCGGGTTGGCACAGTAGGGGGCACAGGTGGTGCATCAGCCAGTCATCTCAGTCAGTCGACCCGTGGCACCTGGGTCTGCCCCGTGACCTCCTGCCAGCGGGCGTTCGACACTTCACGTGGCCTCAGGGTGCACATAGCCTGGCACAAGCGTCGTCGTGACGTCACCGCCACTTAGTGGCGAATGGCGGTTGTTGTTGTTGTGTGTGTGTGAGTCCATGTGTGTTTGTGTGTGAGTCTATGTGTGTGAGTCTAAGTGTGTGTTTGTGTGTGAGTCTATATGTGAGTCTATGTGAGTCTATGTGTGTGTATGAGTCTATGTGTGAGTCTATGTGTGTGTGTGAGTCTAAGTGTGTGTTTGTGTGTGAGTCTAAGTGTGTGTGTGTGAGTCCATGTGTGTGTCTGTCTTTTTCGCCCGGGCAACGCCGGGTACTTACCGTTAGTGTTAAATAAAACAAACTTTATTTTGAACTTGGATACAATTCTTAAGAGATGTGTTGACCTCTCCTATTGTTTCCCTTCCACGCGGTGGTGAACTTACCGACAGACCCAAGAACATGAATCCCTGCAGTCAAGAAAGCTTTAAATCAAAATCTCTCCAATACTTTTAACTCCTATCGGGTTTGTTTGTATTGTTTGTCGTTCCATGCCCCCCCAAACCCCCCCACTTTCTGGACATTTATTAAACAAAAATATAAAAGAGCTTCATAGCTTTACGGATTCTAATTAAATAAATATTCTCACGGTGACGTCATGGAGGGTGATGATGGTGGTGGTGGGCGTGACTTAGCTGGGTGACGTCGCTGCTTGGCGAGTTGGGTTGGGAGGGAGGGGGGGGTGTTGTTCTGGGTGTGTAGCCAATGGGGGGGGCGCTCGAGTCAGGAGGAGGGGGAGAGGGGGGATTGGGCGTGGCTTAGCCGGACCGGGGGGCGTGGCCTAGCTGCTATATAAGAAGGCGGGTGCGTAGGTCGCTTTTCGTTCATCGCTTGCGTTTGGGAGTTCAACTTTTTTGCTGAGCGGACTAACGGAACGAAAGGTGGGAAGCCCCGGACTCTTCATTCATTCATTCATGCATTCATTCGTTCAATTAATTCGTTCACTCGCACAGTCATTTCGGTTGTGGTGAGCCATTCCCACAACACGTACTCATCATCCACCGATGTATAATCAATCATTCACTGATAAATAATCAATCGTTCACTGATAAATAATCAATCATTCACTGATATAGTCATTAACACGTATAGTTTTAGTTCTTCAATGATGTACGCACACAGTCCAAGCCTTCACGGACTTGTAAGGGGCAAGTGCTGTTAGCGAGTAGCAGCACCACCTATGAAGGCCGGCATATAGCACACGAGGGGGTGGGTGGCCAGCACCACGCCCGGCCGCCTTTGTCTCCCCCCCCCCCAGTGGCGATGTTTACTACACACCGCACCAGGAAAATAATTTGAGGCCGAGTCGACCTAGGGGAGGCCCAGGACCGTTTCAGATAATCGTCACCGGTGGTGTTGGCCGTGAGCGGGAATCGAACTCAGGTCGCCAGGTTCGTAGCGCAGCGTAGCGCTAACCGCTGCACCACCGCTCCCTCCCCACGCTGTTAGACACAATCGCCCGGCTAGTTAACTCTCCCGACGCAGACTCAACATTTCACTGTTACTCCTTGCACGCTCACCAAACTCGCTCGCTCACTCATCATCATCCACTCATCATCATCATCCACTCATCATCATCCACTCATCATCATCCGCTCACTCTTCATCATCCGCTCACTCATCATCATCTGCTCACTAATCATCATCCGCTCGCTCACTAATCATCATCCGCTCGCTCACTCATCATCATCATCCGCTCGCTCATCATCCGCTCGCTCATCATCATCATCCGCTCACTCTTCATCATCCGCTCACTCATCACCACCATCTGCTCACTAATCATCATCCGCTCGCTCACTCATCATCATCCGCTCGCTTACTCATCATCCGCTCACTCATCATCATCCGCTCGCTCACTCATCATCATCCGCTCATCATCATCATCCGCTCACTCATCATCATCATCATCCTCTCGCTCACTCATCATCATCCGCTCACTCATCATCCGCTCATCATCATCCGCTCATCATCATCCGCTCACTAATCATCATCATCATCATCCCCTCGCTCACTCATCGTCATCCGCTTACTCGCTCATCCTCGTCATCCGCTCGCTCGCTCGTTCACGCGAGCGAGGCAAAGTGCCACGCCTTTTTATTCGCCCACTCACTCTGCTCACTCTGTGACTGCTTCCTAAGCCGCAGTTTGTCTCGCTTGTGCAACCTGCTCACTCACTCACCAATTCACTCACTCACCCATTCACTCACTCACCCATTCACTCACCCATTCACTCACTCACCAATTCACTCACTCACCAATTCACTCACTCATTCACTCACCAATTCACTCACCCACTCACTCACCCATTCACTCACTCACCAATTGACTCACCCATTCACTCACCCATTCACTCACCCATTCACTCACTCACCCATTCACTCACTCACCCATTCACTCACTCACCAATTCACTCACTCACCAATTCACTCACTCACCCACTCACTCACTCACCAATTCACTCACTCATTCACTCACCCACTCACTCACCCGTTCACTCACTCACCCATTCACTCACTCACCAATTGACTCACCCATTCACTCACTCACCCATTCACTCACTCACCCATTCACTCACTCACCAATTCACTCACTCACCCACTCACTCACCAATTCACTCACTCACCCACTCACCCGTTCACTCACTCACCCGTTCACTCACTCACCCGTTCACTCACTCACCCGTTCACTCACTCACCCGTTCACTCACTCACCCATTCACTCACTCACCCATTCACTCACTCACCCATTCACTCACTCACCCATTCACTCACCCATTCACTCACTCACCCACTCACTGACTCATTCATTCACTCACTGACTCACTCACCGACTCACTGACTCATTCACTCACTCACTGACTCATTCACCCACTCACTGACTCATTCACCCACTCACTGACCCACTCACCAACTCACTCGAACTGTCAATCAACGGTTCATTGACCCACCCACTCCCTCACCCACTCCCTCACCCATTCACTCACTCACCGACTCACTGAATCATTCACTCACTCACTGACTCATTCACTCACTCACTGACTCATTCACTCACTCGAACGGTCGATCAACCCCTCGCTGATCCACTCACTCACTGACCCATTCACTCACTCACTGATCCATTCACTCACTCACTGACCCATTCACTCACTCACTGACCCATTCACTCACTCACTGACCCATTCACTCACTCACTGACCCATTCACTCGCTGACCCATTCACTCACTCGCTGACCCATTCACTCACTCGCTGACCCACTCTCTCACTGACCCACCCACTCGATATCTCAATCAACCGCTCACTGACCCACTCACTCGATTTGTTAAATCAACGGCTCGCTGGCCCATTCACTCACTCACTGACCCACTCACTCGATCTGTCAATGCACCGCTCACTCACCCACTCACTCGAACGTTCGATCAACCGCTCGCTCACTCGCCACCCTCACTCGCCTATCCACTCACCCGCTCACTCGAACATTCGAATCGACCTACGCACTCGCTCGCGCGTCCACTCGCCCACCCCCATTCGCCCACTCGCAACTCCATTCTCAACCCACTCGCGCAATCGTCTTACTCGGTCACTCCGCTCGGCCACTCGCTCACCGTTTCAGTCGCCCACCGGGTCACGGTCCGTCTCGCCCATCCACCCACCCACTCGCCCATCCACCCACCCACTCACCCATCCATCCACCCACCCACTCAACCATCCACCCACCCACTCACCCATCCACCCACTCATCCACCCACTCGTTGTCTCACTCAGACACCCACCCATTGACTCACTCAGGCACCCATCCACTCTCCGTCTGACCTACTCGCTCACTCACCCACCCACTCTCCGTCTCACCCACCCACTCATTGTCTCACTCAAGACACCCACCCACCCATTGTCTCACTCAGACACCCACCCATTGTCTCACTCAGACACCCACCCATTGTCTCACTCAGACACCCACCCAACCATTGTCTCACTCAGACACCCACTCATTGTCTCACTCAGACACCCACCCATTGTCTCACTCAGACACCCACTCATTGTCTCACTCAGACACCCACCCATTGTCTCACTCAGACACCCACCCATTGTCTCACTCAGACACCCACCCACCCATTGTATCACTCAGACACCCACCCACTCTCCGTCTCACTCACCCACTCTCCGTCTCACTCACCCACTCACCCACCCACCCACGCACCCACTCTAGTCAAACGTTCCTGCCGCCGTCACTGCGGTCGTGGTTTCCGTTGTAACGAACTGAATTTATTTTTTAATTTTTATCTCCCTTACAAAGCTCGCCGTGAGCGACATTTGGCATTCTTGAGTTAAACCACCACCACCCCACCCACCACCATCCCACCCACCACCACCCCACCCACCACCACCCCACCCACCACCACCCCACCCACCACCCCACCCACCACACCACCCACTACACCACACCACCCACACCACCAGACCTCACCACCACTCACCACACCACCCACACCACCCCACCCACCACACCACCCACTACACCACACCACCCACCCCACCCACACCACCCCACCCACCACACCACCCACACCACCACACCACCCACACCACCAGACCTCACCACCACTCACCACACCACCCACCCCACCCACACCACCCACCACACCACACCACCCACCCCCCCACCAGACCCCACCACCACACCACCACACCACACCACCCACACCACCAGACCTCACCACCACTCACCACACCACCCACACCACCCACCACCCCACCCACCAGACCTCACCACACCACCCAACACCCCACCCACCACACCACCCACCACACCACCCACCAGACCCCACCACCACTCACCACCCCACCCACCACCCCACCCACCAGACCCCACCACCCACCCCACCCACCCACCATACCCCACCACCACCCACCACCCCCCACCCCCATAATGAGTGAAGTTTGTGAAATGGTCTCTCCGACTTGGTTCATGCCGTCGATGAGAGTAGGACGCCGGCCAGCCAGCCGGCCGGCCAGGGTCACACAAGGGGTAGGGAGAGCCTCTTGGGAGGCTGGGGAATAGGAGGAGCAGCTTGAGATGTGTGGGACTGGCGGTGGTGGTGGCGATGGTGGTGGTGATGTTGGTGGTGATGTTGGTGGTGATGTTGGTGGTGGTGGTGATGTTGGTGGTGATGTTGGTGGTGATGTTGGTGGTGATGTTGGTGGTGATGTTGGTGGTGATGTTGGTGGTGATGTTGGTGGTGATGTTGGTGGTGATGGTCGTGGTGATGGTGATGGTGATGGTCGTGATGATGGTGATGGTAGATGGTGATGGTCGTGGTGATGGTGATGATGATGGTAGTTGGTGATGGTGATGGTCGTGGTGATGGTGATGGTCGTGGTGATGGTGATGGTCGTGGTGATGGTGATGGTCGTGGTGATGGTGGTCGTGGTGATGATGATGGTAGTTGGTGGTGGTGATGGTCGCGGTGATGGTGATGGTCATGATGATGGTGGTCGTGGTGATGGTAGTGGTGGTCGTGGTGATGGTGGTCGTGGTGATGGTAGTGATGGTGATGGTCGTGGTGATGGTAGTGGTGATTGTGGTCGTAGTGATGACGGTAGTGGTGGTAGTGGTGATGGTGGTCGTGGTGACGGTAGTGATGGTCGTGGTGATGGTGGTCGTGGTGACGGTAGTGATGGTGATGGTCGTGGTGATGGTAGTAATGGTGATGGTCGTGGTGATGGTAGTAATGGTGATGGTCGTGGTGATGGTAGTAATGGTGATGGTCGTGGTGATGGTAGTGATGGTGATGGTCGTGGTGATGGTAGTGATGGTGATGGTCGTGGTGATGGTAGTGGTGATTGTGGTGATGGTAGTGATGGTGGTGATGGTCGTGGTGATGGTCGTGGTGATGGTAGTGATGGTGATTGTAGTCGTGATGGTGAGACAGTAAGAGGGGGTCCCAGAAGGCCACGTGTAGACCGCACAGCAACAACAACAGCAACAACAACAGCTGCTGCTGCTGTTGTTGTATCTGGCGGAAGGAAGCGATGCACCGCTGGAATCCGTGGCGTTGGCCATGAGGAACCCCCATCAGCCCGCGGAGATTCTGTCTCCGTGTCTCTCTCCGTGTCTCTCTCCGTGTCTCTCTCCGTGTCTCTCTCCGTGTCTCTCTCTGTCTCTCTCCGTCTCTCAAGTGCATCTTCTGGGGCAATGTCTCCCTGTGTCTCACCGTGTCTCCCTGTGTCTCTATGTCCCCGTGTCTCCCTGTGTCTCTGTCCCCGTGTCTCCCTGTGTCTCTGCCCCCGTGTCTCCCTGTGTCTCACCGTGTCTCCCTGTGTCTCTGTCCCCGTGTCTCCCTGTGTCTCTGCCCCCGTGTCTCCCTGTGTCTCTGCCCCCGTGTCTCCCCATGTCTCCCTGTCTCACCGTGTCTCCCTGTGTCTCTATGTCCCCGTGTCTCCCTGTCTCTGTCCCCGTGTCTCCCTGTGTCTCTGCCCCCGTGTCTCCCTGTGTCTCTGCCCCCGTGTCTCCCTGTGTTTCTGACCCCGTGTCTCCCTGTGTCTCTACGCCCCTGTGTCTCCCCGTGTCTCTGTCCCCGTGTCTCCCTGTGTCTCACCTTGTCCCCGTGTCTCCCTGTGTCTGTCCCCGTGTCTCCCTGTGTCTCTATGTCCCCCGTGTCTCCCTGTGTCTCTATGTCCCCTTGTCTCCCTGTGTCTATGTCCCCGTGTCTCCCTGTGTCTCTATGTCCCCGTGTCTCCCTGTGTCTCTATGTCCCCGTGTCTCCCTGTGTCTCTGTCTCCGTGTCTCCCTGTGTCTCTGTCCCCGTGTCTCCCTGTGTCTCTACGCCCCTGTGTCTCCCCGTGTCTCTGTCCCCGTGTCTCCCTGTGTCTCACCTTGTCCCCGTGTCTCCCTGTGTCTCTATGTCCCCGTGTCTCCCTGTGTCTCTATGTCCCCGTGTCTCCCTGTGTCTCTATGTCCCCGTGTCTCCCTGTGTCTCTATGTCCCCGTGTCTCCCTGTGTCTCTATGTCCCCGTGTCTCTCTGTGTCTCTATGTCCCCGTGTCTCCCTGTGTCTCTATGTCCCCGTGTCTCCCTGTGTCTCTATGTCCCCGTGTCTCTCTGTGTCTCTATGTCCCCGTGTCTCCCTGTGTCTCTGTCCCCGTGTCTCTCTGTGTCTCTATGTCCCCGTGTCTCCCTGTGTCTCTGTCCCCGTGTCTCCCTGTGTCTCTACGCCCCTGTGTCTCCCCGTGTCTCTGTCCCCGTGTCTCCGTGTCTCACCTTGTCCCCGTGTCTCCCTGTGTCTCTATGTCCCCGTGTCTCCCTGTGTCTCTGTGTCCCCGTGTCTCCCTGTGTCTCTATGTCCCCGTGTCTCCCTGTGTCTCTATGTCCCCGTGTCTCCCTGTGTCTCTATGCCCCCGTGTCTCACATTGTCCCTTTGTGTCTGTCTCACCGTGTCCCCTTGTCTCACTATGTCCTCGTGTCTCACCTTGTCTCTGTCTCACCGTGTCCCCTTGTGTCTCACCCCGGTGTCTCTCCTCCCCGTTCCACCACCATCACCACCACCACCACCACCGTCATCACCACCACCGTCATCATCATCATCATCACCACCACCACCACCGTCATCATCATCACCACCATCACCACCACCGTCATCACCACCACCGTCATCATCATCACCACCACCGTCATCATCATCACCATCATCACCACCACCGTCATCATCATCACCACCACCATCGTCATCACCACCATCATCATCATCACCACCACCATCATCACCACCACCATCACCACCATCACCACCATCATCACCACCATCATCATCATCACCACCACCATCACCGTCATCATCATCACCATCATCACCACCACCATCACCACCATCACCACCACCATCACCATCACCGCCACCATCACCACCACCATCACCACCACCATCAGCATCAGCAGCGATGGCGAACAAAGGTCCCTCCTACGGGCTGAGCCGCGAGGTGCAGAGCAAGATCGACCAGAAGTACGACCCCGAGCTGGAGGAGCGACTCGTGGCGTGGATCGCCGCCCAGTGCGGAGACTCCAGCGGCGTGGGGAGCTGTCCCGGCACGGGCAAGGCCAGCTTCCAGCTCTGGCTTAAAGACGGCACGGTGAGGGGCTGGTGAGGGGTTGGTGAGGGGTTGGTGAGGGTGAGGGGCTGGTGAGGGCGAGGGGCTGGTGAGGGGTTGGTGAGGGTGAGGGGCTGGTGAGGGCGAGGGGCTGGTGAGGGGCTGGTGAGGGCGAGGGGCTGGTGAGGGTGAGGGGCTGGTGAGGGCTGGTGAGGGGCTGGTGAGGGGCTGGTGAGGGTGAGGGGCTGGTGAGGGTTGGTGAGGGCTGGTGAGGGTGAGGGGCTGGTGAGGGCTGGTGAGGGTGAGGGGCTGGTGAGGGGCTGGTGAGGGTGAGGGGCTGGTGAGGGGCTGGTGAGGGTGAGGGGCTGGTGAGGGGCTGGTGAGGGTGAGGGGTTGGTGAGGGGCTGGTGAGGGTGAGGGGCTGGTGAGGGGCTGGTGAGGGTGAGGGGCTGGTGAGGGGCTGGTGAGGGTGAGGGGTTGGTGAGGGGCTGGTGAGGGTGAGGGGCTGGTGAGGGGCTGGTGAGGGGCTGGTGAGGGGCTGGTGAGGGCTGGTGAGGGTGAGGGGCTGGTGAGGGCTGGTGAGGGTGAGGGGCTGGTGAGGGTGGGTGAGGGTGAGGGGCTGGTGAGGGTGAGGGGCTGGTGAGGGTGAGGGGCTGGTGAGGGGCTGGTGAGGGGCTGGTGAGGGGCTGGTGAGGGGCTGGTGAGGGGTGGGTGAGGGGCTGGTGAGGGGCTGGTGAGGGGCTGGTGAGGGCTGGTGGGGGCTGGTGAGGGGCTGGTGAGGGCTGGTGAGGGTGAGGGGCTGGTGAGGGCTGGTGAGGGTGAGGGGCTGGTGAGGGGCTGGTGAGGGTGAGGGGCTGGTGAGGGTGAGGGGCTGGTGAGGGGCTGGTGAGGGGCTGGTGAGGGGTGGGTGAGGGGCTGGTGAGGGGCTGGTGAGGGGCTGGTGAGGGCTGGTGGGGGCTGGTGAGGGGCTGGTGAGGGCTGGTGAGGGGTGGTGAGGGGCTGGTGAGGCGAGCACCATCTATGAAGGCCGGCACGGCACACGAGGGGGTGGGTGGCCAGCACCACTCCCGGCCGCCTTTGTCTCCCCAGTGGCGATGTTTACTACGCACTGCTACACCAGGTAACTTATTTGAGGCCGAGTCGACCTAGGGGAGGACCAGGACCGGTTCAGATTATCGTCACCGGTGGTGTTGGCCGTGAGCGGGAATCGAACTCAGGTCACCGGTTTCGTAGTGCTAACGTACACACACACAACAACAACAACAACCGCCATTCGCCACTAAGTGGCGGTGACGTCACCACGACGCTTGTGCCAGGCTATGTGCACCTTTAGGCCACGTGAAGTGTCGAACGCCCGCTGGCAGGAGGTCACGGGGCAGACCCAGGTGCCACGGGTCGACTGACTGAGATGACTGGCTGATGCACCACCTGTGCCCCCTACTGTGCCAACCTGCTGTGCTTTAGCCACCCGGCGCTCCGCTCGTTGTTGTGAGCGTCGCTCCTCCGCCCTCCGTTGTTGTTGGAGGGCGACTGCCTCCAACTGCCCAGTAGCGTCCTTCACGAGCCTCCTCCACAGAGGCCGATCTTGACACCGCTGGTACCAGTCATCGGCAAGTCCACTCAGCTCCACGTCCTCCTGTACCACATCACTCCATCTCTTCTCTAGCCCGTGCCGCGCCCGCTTAGCCCCCTCGATCCGGCCGAACAAAAGCTGTTTCGGCATGCGGTGGCTGGGCATGCGGGCTACATGACATGGACATACACACGGACACGGCCACACACACGGACACACACGGACACACACACGGCCACACACACGGCCACACACACGGACACACACACGGACACACACACGGACACACACACACGGACGTCTCACCTTGACTGGCCTTTTGCATGCAATACGTAAAACCTGTTTGGTGAGGATTACTCAAACACGCGCATGTTGAGGCCGGGAAATGAACCCAGTCAATTCCAGGTGAGGGTGAGGCGCTGTGGTGAGGAAGTGGTACTAGGGTGAGGCAGTGGCGAGGTAAGCCACGGTGGCTAGGAGATGTTAACTACCTCGCCTGGTCTACAGGAGGTCGTGGGTTCTATCCCTCTCTCATCATCACGGTGGCTATGAGATGTTAACTACCTCGCCTGGTACACAGGAGGTCGTGGGTTCTATCTCTCATCATCATTACGGTGGCTAGGAGATGTTAACTACCTCGCCTGGTCTACAGGAGGTTGTGGGTTCGATCCCGATCCTGACGCCTGCTGCTGCTGCTGCTGTATATTTGGAGTTTGCGTGTCTCTCTCCCTCCCCGTGGTCGCGTGGATTATTTTAAATTCTCCCCGCACATCTAGCGTCGGCGTCACCACGCGTTCAGAGTGATTTGGCCCGTGCTACAAATTTCTAGACGACGATGACGACGATGACGACGATGACGACGATGACGACGATGACGACGACAAAGCCGCTCGCGTCGTTGAGCAGCTAACACCTGCGAGGGGGTCGCTTCTGACAACGAGCGGCACCACAGCTCGGGCGTGGGGTCCCCCCCCCATACCTGGTTTAGTAAAAACAATTAGTCGAGGTGAATAGTTTGACTAGTTCTCGACTCACGCGACACCAATCCCGTACTCAGATTTGCTCTCCCCCCCTCCCTCACCTCCCCCCCCCCCCTCACCTCTTTCCTCGCCTCTCCTCACCTCACCCGCGCCTCACCCGACAGGTGCTGTCTCACCTCATAAACTCGCTCTACCCTGCGGGGTCGGGCCCGATCAAGAAGGTGCAACCTTCCACGATGGCCTTCAAGCAGATGGAGCAGATCTCCCAGTTCCTGAAGGCCGCCGAGGCCTACGGAGTCAGCACCACTGACATGTTCCAGACGGTCGACCTGTGGGAGGGTGAGTTCCCCAACCGACGGCGACGACGCTCCGTCGTTCTCCCACCCCTCTGTGTGTGTGTGTGTGTGGCCTTTTAAAGGCGTCGGGGGTCAGGATCGAGCCTCTACGAACTTCTGCAGACCGGTCGACTCGCATAGAGACCCATAGACACACACACAGAGACCCATAGACACACACACGGAGACCCATAGACTCGCATAGAGACCCATAGACATACACACAGAGACCCATAGACACACACACAGACCCATGGACACGCACACAGACCCATGGACACGCACACAGACCCATAGACACACACGGAGACCCATAGACACACACGGAGACCCATACACACACACAGACCCATAGACACACACACAGACCCATAGACACACACACACAGACCCATAGACACGCACACAGACCCATGGACACGCACACAGACCCATAGACACACACGGAGACCCATAGACACACACACAGAGACCCATAGACACACACACAGAGACCCATAGACACACACACAGAGACCCATAGACACACACACACAGACCCATAGACACGCACACAGACCCATGGACACGCACACAGACCCATGGACACGCACACAGACCCATAGACACACACGGAGACCCATACACACACACAGACCCATAGACACACACACAGACCCATAGACACACACAGACCCATAGACACGCACACACGGAGACCCATAGACACACACAGAGACCCATAGACACACACAGAGACCCATAGACACACACACAGACCCATAGACACGCACACGGAGACCCATAGACACGCACACGGAGACCCATAGACACACACACGGAGACCCATAGACACACACACAGAGACCCATAGACACACACACACGGAGACCCATAGACACACACACACGGAGACCCATAGACACACACACGGAGACCCATAGACACACACACGGAGACCCATAGACACACACACGGAGACCCATAGACACACACACGGAGACCCATAGACACACACACACGGAGACCCATAGACACACACGGAGACCCATAGACACACACACGGAGACCCATAGACACACACACGGAGACCCATAGACACGCACACAGACCCATAGACACGCACACAGACCCATAGACACGCACACAGACCCATAGACACACACACGGAGACCCATAGACACACACACGGAGACCCATAGACACGCACACACGGAGACCCATAGACACGCACACACGGAGACCCATAGACACGCACACACGGAGACCCATAGACACACACACGGAGACCCATAGACACACGCACAGAGACCCATAGACACACACACACGGAGACCCATAGACACACAGAGACCCATAGACACACACACGGAGACCCACACATACAGACACACAGACACACACAGACACACACACACAGACACACACAGACACACACAGACACACACAGACACACAGACACACCCATAGACACACTCAGATGCCCTTTTGAGGAAGTTTGTTGTGTTGGGGCCTTGAAGAGTTTCTCAAGTTCCGCCCTCGAGCGGGGAGTGCCCACAACACCCCGGGGTTGACCAACTACAAAGACAGAGACCCCACAATCTCCCCGTGTAGCCTGTACAGACTCGTTGGGGCAAGTGCCGTGAGCGATCAACAGCAGCCTACGAAGGCCGGCACGGCGCACGGGGGGGGGGGGGTGATGGCGGGTGGCCCGCCACGGCCGCCTTTGTCTCCCCGTGCGCGTCGTCGCGGTTACCGGTCTTTAGGCTGAGTCGACCTAGGGGAGAGAGAGAGAGAGGGGGCGGGGGGGTTCAGGACCGGTTCGGTTAATCGCTATCGCCATCGTCACTGGTGGTGGCCGTGAGCCGTGATCGTCAACCGCGCGAGTTATTGTCCGTCTGTTCGGTTGAGCACGTTGCTGGGCTGTCGCGATCAATGGCGCCCCTAGTCGAGGGCCCCTTGGTGTTGTGGGTTAGACCCGCAGCCGTGTGATTGTCACGTGACGCGCGTGGTGGGGTGAAGTGTGGGTACTCTTTAACCCCCCTCTCGCCCCCTGACCTCTCGCCCCCTGACCTCTCGCCCCCTGGCCTCTCGCCCCCTGGCCTCTCGCCCCCTGACCTCTCGCCCCCTGACCTCTCGCCCCCTGACCTCTCGCCCCCTGACCTCTCGCCCCCTGACCTCTCGCCCCCTGACCCCTCGCCCCCTGACCCCTCGCCCCCTGACCCCTCGCCCCCTGACCCCTCGCCCCCTGACCCCTCGCCCCCTGACCCCTCGCCCCCTGACCCCTCGCCCCCTGACCCCTCGCCCCCTGACCCCTCGCCCCCTGACCTCTCGCCCCCTGACCTCTCGCCCCCTGACCCCTCGCCCCCTGACCCCGTACAGGCAAGGACCTGGCGTCTGTGCAGAGAACCCTCATGGCGCTGGGCAGCATCGCCGTGACCAAGGGGGACGGCCTCTACCAGGGCGACCCCGCCTGGTTCCACAAGTGAGCAGCTTGCGGGGGGCAGCCACGGGGCACGTGTCTGTGTGCGTGTGTGTCTGTGTGTCTGTGTGTGTGTCTTGTGTGTCTGTGTGTGTGTGTCTTGTGTGTCTTTGTGTGTGTGTCTTGTGTGTCTTTGTGTCGTGTTTGTGTGTGTCTTTTGTGTGTGTCGTGTGTGTGTGTGTGTGTCTTGTGTGTGTGTGTGTCTTGTGTGTGTGTGTGTCTTGTGTGTGTGTGTGTGTGTCGTGTGTGTGTGTGTCGTGTGTGTGTGTGTCTTGTGTGTGTGTGTGTGTCTTGTGTGTGTGTGTGTGTCGTGTGTCGTGTGTGTGTCTTGTGTGTCGTGTGTGTGTGTCTTGTGTGTGTGTCTTGTGTGTCGTGTGTGTGTCTTGTGTGTGTGTGTGTGTCTTGTGTGTGTGTGTGTGTCTTTGTGTGTGTGTGTCTTTGTGTGTGTGTGTCGTGTGTGTGTGTGTCTCTCTCTGTGTGTGTCTGTGTGTGGAGCGGTGGGTGTAGTGGTTAGCGCTACGCTACGCTGCGAACCCCGTGACCCGGGTTCGATTCCCGCTCACGGCCAACACCAGTGACGATTATCTGAACCGGTTCTGGGCCTCCCCTAGGTCGACTCGGCCTCAAATGAGTACCTGGTGCGGTGTGCAGTAAACATCGCCACTGGGGAGACAAAGGCGGTCGGGCGTGGTGCTGGCCACCCACCCCCTCGTGTACCGTTCTGGCCTTCATAGGTGCTCGCTAACAGCACTTGCCCCTACAGTCTGTTAAGGCTATATGGGGGGGTCTTGGCTTTGTGTGACTCTGTGTGTGACTCAGTCTGTGTGCAAACGGCACTTTCCCAAAAGCTTTGCGCGATTTCTCGCGTCTGTGTGCGTGCGCGTGTGCGTGCCCTCCTGAGTGAATCTGTGTGTGTGCGAGTTTGTGCGTGTGTGGACTGTCTGTCTGTCCGCTATATACGAGTGTGTGTGTGTGGACTGTCTGTCTGTCCGCTATATACGAGTGTGTGTGTGTGCTAACAGTACTTGCCCCAACAGTATGTTAAGGCTATTCGGGGGATCTTTGTGTGTGTGTGTTTGACTGTCAGTGTGTGTGTGTGTGTGCATCTTTGTGTGTTTTGCCTGGCATTCGGCATTATATATTCTGCGTGTGCGTGTGTGTGGGTACTAGGTGTAACAGCCCTTGCTCCTCCACTCTGTTAAGGCTATGCCGGTGATCTTTGTCGTTGTGTGCGTCTGTGGCCTGGAATTTGGCACGATAGATTGTGTGTGTGTGTATGTACGAGTGGGGGGGGGGGGGGGGAGCGGTGGCGCAGCGGTTAGCGCCACGCTGCGCGGCGAACCCGAGTTCGATTCCCCGCTCACGGCCAACACCGCCGGTGACGATTATCTGAAACGGTCCTGGGCCTCCCCTAGGTCGACTCGGCCTCAAATTATTTTCCTGGTGCGGTGTGTAGTAAACATCGCCACTGGGGGGGGGGGGGAGACAAAGGCGGCCGGGCGTGGTGCTGGCCACCCACCCCCTCGTGTGCTATATGCCGGCCTTCATAGGTGGTGCTGCTACTCGCTAACAGCACTTGCCCCTTACAAGTCCGTGAAGGCGACGGCTATCCGAACCGGTCCTGGGCCATCCCCCAGGTCGACCTGGCCTCAAACGAGGGCCCGGCACGGCGCGCCGTCCATCGCCACCGCTCGGGCAAAGCCCCACCCCGTCGCGTGCCTTGCCGGCCTCTTGCCGGCGCTCGACCGGTGTGGGTGTGGGCGTTTCTCTGTCCGTGCGTCCCGTGCAGGAAGTCTCAGGAGAACCGTCGCGAGTTCTCCGAGGACCAGCTGAAGCAGGGCCAGAACGTCATCGGCCTGCAGTACGGCACCAACAAGGGCGCCTCGCAGGCCGGCATGACGGGCTACGGTCGCCCACGCCAGATCCACAACTGAGGCCCTCCCCCGGCGGCTTTGACGGCGCCCGGGCCGCGCCGCTCGCCGGGCCACCTCGGGGAGGGCCGGGCGACGGAGCGGGCGGCTAGGCGGGTGGGGTGGGGGGGGGCGGCTAGGGGGGGGCGGGCGTGGGGGGACCTAGGGGACCTGTCCCACCTGTTGTGGAATTCGGCTGGGCGGGCCAAGGCGGACCGGTCAACTAGGTGGCCGCGTGACTGATTCAACCGGTGGACCGGTCGACCGGTGGACTCGTCTACTGGTGGACCGGTCGACCGGTGGACTCGTCTACTGGTGGACCGGTCGACCGGTGGACTAGTCAACTGGTGGACCAGTCGACCGGTGGACTAGTCAACTGGTGGACCGGTCGCCCGGTGGACTGGTGGACTAGTGGACCGGTGGACCAGTCTACCGGTGGACCGGTGGAATGGTCGACCGGTCGATGGACCAACGATCGACCAGCGGCCGCCCGCTCGCCCCACTTATTCCACGGCATTCCTCGCGACCCAGCGACCGCTCTTATCGACGAGTCGACCGGTCGACGAAGCCAAACCAAACGCTCCACCAAACGCCCGGGGACACAAAAAAGGAAAAAAAATAATTAAAAATAAACCTCGATCCCATCAACCTTTTTGGTGGCTTTCCGCCCGCTCGCTCGCCCGCTCGCCCGTACTGCCGCTCCACCGCTCCGCCGCTCCACCGCTCCACCGCTCGCCACCCACCGGGGCCGCCTGGTGGGCCAACGCCCCCTCCCACCCCCGCCACTCGCCGACATTCCCCGCTGCGTCTCGTGCACGCACACACGCGTGTGTGCGTGTGTGGACGCGCGTGTGTACACACGGACAGACACGCACATACGTACACACACGGACGTGCACGTGTGTGTGTGTGTGTACGCGCACAACGCGTACTTACGCTGGCTAACGTGTTTACACGCGGGGATCAATACGGTTTTATGTGAACACGCACACAGGTTTGTACACACACACACACCAAGACAGAGATCCCCCGTATAGCTTTGACAGACTGCTGGGGCAAGTGCAGCGCCCTATGAAGGCCGGCACTGTGGCACGCGAGGGGGTGTGTGGCCAGCAGCACCACGCCCGGCCGCCTTTGTCTCCCCCAGTGGACGATGTTTACTACGCATCGCACCGGGTACTCGTTTGAGGCTGGGTCGACCTAGGGGAGGCCCGGAACCGGTTCAGATGTCCGAACTCTGTCCCGCTGGGTTCTTAGCGCTGCGGCGCACCCCAACCGCTCTGCCACCGCTCTCCCCACACGCACACACACGCAGGCACGCGTACACAGACGCGCACACACACAGACGCACACACACACACGCACACACACACGCATGCGCTGACACTCCACCCACTTCCCTTAGCTCTCTGCCCTCCACAACGGCATTCGCGATTACGCCCCAATTACCACTCAAATCATTTAACCAGCCCGCCGATTAACATCATCCCATCCCACGTGACCACCTCCAACCCCGCCACACTAAGTAACCCCGCCACACTAAGTAACCCCGCCACACTAAGTAACCCCGCCACACTAAGTAACCCCGCCACACTAAGTAACCCCGCCGACCAACTAAACCCACACTCCGTGCCCACTCGTCAGCTCTCGGGTGAACCTTGACCCTTGACCCCCCATGCGTGATGCAGGCCGGCACGCCGTTTGTCACGTGCCGGCCTGCGTAGGCGCTGCCCGCTAGCAGCACTTGACCCTACAGTCTGTCGCAGGCTGTACGGAGAAGGAAGCTTTGTCTGTGTATAGTGTGTCTGTGTGTGGTGTCTGTGTGTGGTGTCTGTGTGTAGTTTGTGTAATGTGTCTGTGTATAGTGTGTGTGCGTCTGTGTGTGTGTCGGTGCTCGCTTACAACACTTGCCCCTACAGTCTGTTAAGGCTATACAGGGGATCTTTGTCTTTGCGGTGTGATGCTGTTGTCTGTGAACACTCCGCCAAAACCGATTGCACACACACTTAAACATTCGCCGAAACTAGGACATTCCACACGACTGTGAGAGGCCTCCCACACACACACACTCGCGCAGCAACGAGTAAGGACATCGATTACAGCCACGGAAACGAATTTATCAATCGTCGCATCGATCTCCCATTCCATCTCCCCCCTCCAACTTATTGCTAAAGAGTAATAAAACGTTGTCGGTGTTCAACAAAAAAATTGTTTCATCGATCGTATTGTAACAAAAAAAAAGCAGCATCTTGGTGGTCAGATTTGCTCTTGTGATAAGTAATGAATAGTTTTAATATAATTGGTCTTACAGTGGAAAGGAGTGCGAATAAATGATGGAAAAAACACCCCCCCCCCGCCGCCCGCATTCCGTCTGCATTCTCTCTTTGTATGTAATAATGGCGACGTCGACTGCAAAGGGGAATGGAGGTGGAGCTGTCCCGGGACAGAGCTCCTGAAAATAATCCCACCTCGACCCTCGCTCGTCTCTTCACCCTTAACCCGAGCTGTCTGGGGGTGGTGTGTGTGGGGGGCACCAGGAGGGACGAAGGAAGGGGGGGGGGGGGTAGGTGGGGAGATCCGTCAACCTGGTTGCAGTTGAAGGGAGGGGTTATCGGAATCATACCGCGTGAAGTTATCGCTGGTAAGGAGATGTTAACTCCCTCGCCTGGTCTACAGAAGGTCCGTGGGTTCGATCCCGACCCTGACACCTGCTGCTGTATATTTGGAGTTTGCGTGTCTCTCTCTCAACATCATCATCACGGTGGCTAGGAGATGTTCACTACCTCGCCTGGTCTACAGGAGGTCGTGGGCTCCATCTCACGGTGGCTAGGAGATGTTCACTACCTCGCCCGGTATGCAGGAGGTCCGTTGATTCGATCCTGACCCTGACGCCTGCTGCTGTATATTTGGAGTTTGTGGTGTCTCTCCCTGTGGTGGCATGGATTTGTTTTAATATATCCATGGGGTCATCCGATGCCCCTCCACCTCCACATTTCGACGCGACGAGGATGATGAGGATGATGGAGCTCCGCTGGGTGGGGATGTCGTTCGCGATGGGCCCAGGTCGCTTCTGAATTCACAAAAGCTGAGAGAGATAACAGCCGAATAGCAGATCAGCGTTGGCCTTGCCTTGGTAAAATAAAAAATAAAAATTGCTTAACACGTAGTAGACTTTCGTGACCAATATCATCCATCATAGAAATCTGGCTGCCGCCCGATGAAGCCGGTTCTAATTTACTGGCGAAACGTCGTACTCCCGATTGTAAATGTCGTGGGTTGGCTCTCCTACACACTGGTGCTGTACTAGTATACTACACTATACACTAATGCTGTACTAGTGTACTACACTATACACTAATGCTGTACTAGTATACTACACTATACACTAATGCTGTACTAGTGTACTACACTATACACTAATGCTGTACTAGTGTACTACACTATACACTAATGCTGTACTAGTGTACTACACTATACACTAATGCTGTACTAGTGTACTACACTATACACTAATGCTGTACTAGTGTACTACACTATACACTAATGCTGTACTAGTATACTACACTATACACTAATGCTGTACTAGTGTACTACACTATACACTAATGCTGTACTAGTATACTACACTATACACTACACTATACACACCACTACACACTGGTGCTGTACTAGTGACGAATTGGCCACGTTCTGTTTACGTGACAAACCCCCATACTGGTTGGCTGTGTCGGGTGGTGGCGGGCTTTAAGGACGCAACATTTACACACATTTACGTGGCGATCGAACCCCACGGAAGCCTCCACTGTGGGTGGTTTTAGTTTATCCGCGACCCCTCGCCAGCGACGAACCTTGCGGGTGCAGGTCGAGGCGTCGTCGGGGCTACGGTGACCGCCGATGCCTCGCCATGCCCCCCCACCCCCTTGTGAATGTAGCAGCGTACTCGACGTGGTGATCGTCTCCGTCTGTGTTCAACCCGACGTAATGCGGAATAAATAAAGGACAAAAAGCCCTTCAAATGGACATCTCTCCCTGCATTGCTTTACCCCCACCCCCTATCCACCCCCCTTAACCCCCCCCCGCACACAAAGACAAAGATGCCTCTCCCCGTATAGCCTTCACAGGCTGTTGGGGCAAGTGCTGTTTAGCAAACAAGAAACTCGAGGCGCCACGGTGGCTATGAGATGTTAACTACCTCGCCTGGTATACAGGAGGTCGTGGGCTCCATCTCACGGTGGCTAGGAGATGTTGACTACCTCGCCTGGTATGCAGGAGGTCGTGGGCTCCATCTCACGGTGGCTAGGAGATGTTAACTACCTCGCCTGGTATACAGGAGGTCGTGGGCTCCATCTCACGGTGGCTAGGAGATGTTAACTACCTCGCCTGGTACGCAGGAGGTCGTGGGCTCCATCTCACGGTGGCTAGGAGATGTTAACTACCTCGCCTGGTATGCAGGAGGTCGTGGGTTCCATCTCACGGTGGCTAGGAGATGTTAACTACCTCGCCTGGTACACAGAAGGTCGTGGGCTCCATCTCACGGTGGCTAGGAGATGTTAACTACCTCGCCCGGTCTGCAGGAAATCGTGGGGTCGACCTTGATGCCTGCTGCTGCTGTATATTTGGAATTTGCGGTGTCTTTCATCATCATCACGGTGGCTAGGAGATGTTAACTACCTCGCCTGGTATACAGGAGGCCGTGGGGTAGCTCCCGACCCTGATGCCTGTTGTATATTTGTAGTTTGCATGTCTCTACCTCTCCCCGTGGTCGCGTGGATTTTTCTCCTGGTCCTCCGGTTTTCCCCGCTCCACGTTTAGAATCGACGTCGCCACGTGGTGAGAGTGATGTAGCTGCTGCTGCTGTCCGTATCCACACGGCGACGAGGATGATGGCAATAAGCCGCCCACCTCGTCGAGCAGAGATCATTTGTGGTGGCCAGGGTCAGTGGGGCCGAACCTGGTCAAATTTTAAAACAACACCGTTTTAGTTGTACTGAAGAAGGCCCGCACGGCAACACGGTGTTCACGACGCACCACGTACTCACAGAGACCCACAGACTCACACAGAGGCCCGTAGACTCACACAGAGACCCACAGACTCACAAAGAGACCCATAGACTCACACAGAGACACATAGACTCACTCAGAGACCCACAGACTCACACAGAGACCCACAGACTCGCACAGAGACAGAGACTCGCACAGAGACCCATAGACTCGCACAGAGACCCATAGACTCGCACGGAGACCCATAGACTCGCACAGAGACCCATAGACTCACACAGAGACACATAGTTTCACACAGAAACCCATAGTCTCACACAGAGACCCACAGACTTGCACAGAGACCCACAGATTCACACAGAGAACCGTAGACTCACACAGAGATCCATAGACTCACACAGAGACCCATAGACTCACACAGAGACCCACAGACTCGCAGAGAGACCCATAGACTCACACAGAGACACATAGACTCACTCAGAGACCCACAGACTCACACAGAGACCCACAGACTCGCACAGAGACACAGAGACTCGCACAGAGACCCATAGACTCACACAGAGACCCACAGACTCACACAGAGACCCACAGACTCTCACAGAGACCCATAGACTCACACAGAGACCTATAGACTCACACAGAGACCCACAGACTCACACAGAGACCCACAGACTCACGCAGAGACCCAGAGACTCGCACAGAGATCCACAGACTCGCACAGAGACCCACAGACTCGCACAGAGACCCATAGGCTCACACAGAGACCCACAGACTCGCACAGAGACCCACAGACACACACAGAGACCCACAGACTCACACAGAGACCCACAGACACACACAGAGACCCACAGACTCAGACCCACAGACTCACACAGAGACCCACAGACTCACACAGAGACCCACAGACTCACACAGAGACCCACAGACTCGCACAGAGACCTACAGACTCACACAGAGACCCATAGACTCACACAGAGGCCCACATACTCACACAGAGACCCACTGACTCACACAGAGACCTAGAGACTCACACAGAGGCCCACAGACTCACACAGAGACCCACAGACTCATACAGAGACCCACAGACTCACAGAGAGACCCAAAGAATCACACAGAGACCCACAGACTCGCACAGAGACCCATAAACTCACACATAGACCCACAGACTCACACAGAGACTCACACAGAGACCCACAGACTCACACAGAGACCCACAGACTCACGCAGAGACCCAGAGACTCGCACAGAGATCCACAGACTCGCACAGAGACCCACAGACTCGCACAGAGACCCATAGGCTCACACAGAGACCCACAGACTCGCACAGAGACCCACAGACACACACAGAGACCCACAGACTCACACAGAGACCCACAGACACACACAGAGACCCACAGACTCAGACCCACAGACTCACACAGAGACCCACAGACTCACACAGAGACCCACAGACTCACACAGAGACCCACAGACTCGCACAGAGACCTACAGACTCACACAGAGACCCATAGACTCACACAGAGGCCCACATACTCACACAGAGACCCACTGACTCACACAGAGACCTAGAGACTCACACAGAGGCCCACAGACTCACACAGAGACCCACAGACTCATACAGAGACCCACAGACTCACAGAGAGACCCAAAGAATCACACAGAGACCCACAGACTCGCACAGAGACCCATAAACTCACACATAGACCCACAGACTCACACAGAGACTCACACAGAGACCCACAGACTCACACAGAGACCCATAGACTCACACAGAGACCCACAGACTCACAGAGAACCCACAGACTCACACAGAGACCCATAGACTCACACAGAGACCCACAGACTCACACAGAGACCCACAGACTCACACAGAGACCCACAGACTCGCACAGAGACCTACAGACTCGCACAGAGACCCACAGACTTACACAGAGACCCACAGACTCGCACAGAGACCCACAGACTCGCACAGAGACCCACAGACTCACCCCACAGACCCACAGACTCGCACAGAGACCCACAGACTCGCACAGAGACCCACAGATTCACCCCACAGACCCACAGACTCGCACAGAGTCTCACACAGAGACCCACAGACTCGCACAGAGACCCACAGACTCGCACAGAGACCCACAGACTCGCACAGAGACCCACAGACTCGCAAAGAGACCCACAGACTCACCCCACAGACCCGCACAGAGACTCACACAGAGACCCACAGACTCACACAGAGACCCACAGACTCACACAGAGACCCACAGACTCACACAGAGACCCACAGACTCGCACAGAGACCCACTGACTCACACAGAGACTCACAGACTCACACAGAGACCCACAGACTCACCCCACAGAC